CAGTAGCAACAATAGCAACAAGAGCAGCAGTAATAGTAACAGCAGCAACAACAGCAACGATAGCAGCAACAGCAGCAACAATAGCAGCAGCAACAGCAGCAAGGATAGCAACAGCAACAATAGTAACCCCAGCAACAGCAGCAGCAGCAATAATAGTTAACAACAGCAGCAGCAACAATAGTAACCACAATAACAGCAGCAGCGGTAGCAACAATAGCAACAACAACAGCAGTAATAGTAACAGCAGCAACAATAGCAGCAGCAACAGTAACAACAGCGGCAACAACAGGAACAATGACAGCAGCAACAACAGTAACTGCAGCAACTGCAGCCGCAGCAGCAACAGTAAGAACAGCAGCCATCGCAGGAGCAGCAGCAGCTGCGCTGACTGACCGCTAAGAACCCCAGCGTGGCCCAGGCCCCTCCCTGCACTCACCCCCGCCCCACCTTGTGAACTCAGCCCCCTGGAACCTGGCTGCCAGGACTGGCTTTGTCACTCACTGGCCTCCTGGGTGAATCTTTGATCTTTGCTGCCTTCATTTTTTTTCAGCTGTCAATGGGGCTAATAATGACAGTACCTGTCCCGCAGGGCTGTCGCCAGGATTAAATGGGGCAGCTCGGGCGCGGGGCTTCGGAAGCACTAGCTGAAGGCTCTGAGTGAATGTCAGCTACTGTTACCCAATCTTACAGACAAGGAAACAGGCGGAAGGGTGAAATAAGGGGTACATCAGGAAATGCCCGGGGATCTCTGTGTAACTAAGACGGGCTGTGGGTGCTGGGGAGCCGGAGGACTTGGGCGGGGAAGAGACCTGTTTTGGCGCCTCTCCCTCAGTGTCGGGGGACGCTGGGCCTGGGTCAGCTCTCCTGAGGGACACCTCTGTGTCCTGCGGGCCGCCCTGCTCATCTTTGCCTGCAGGGGGGCCCTTTAGCAGCCCAGCCTTGGGTTCACCTCCCCACTCTCCTCTGCAGCCACGAGCCTCACACAGATCTGTCTTCCATCTTTGAAAGGTGAGCTGGGTTATGGAATACAGAAAATAGAAAAGCGCAAATCTTCAGAGAAGTGTTTGTGGATCACATGAAGAGAAGGCATATAAACCAACAACAGGATTAATCTTTGCTTTGCCCGATGAACCAGCCTGATGGGAAGCCTCTTACAAGTACACGTTTATGTGTCTATCACGGAGCTGCGCTTCCCTATCTCAAAACCATTCAGAATATATTTTAAAATTTGATTTCCACTCAGTTGTCTAGTTACCTGTTTTACAAAGCAGCTATGAAAACTTCTATGGATAATACAGTGGCTATTGGACATTTTCAAAGTGCCAGGCTCTTCCCATGCATGTATCTCATTACAAAAATCCAGTGAGTAGAAACCATTGTCCCCATTTACAGATGAAGAAACCAAGGCTTAGAAGAGTTAAGGCTGCATGATGGGAAATGTCAAGACCTGGCCTATCAGACTCTACAGCTCATGCCCCTGCCCACCACACCTTACCACCTTCCCAGCACTGGAGCTGGCTGCACAAGCCTGGAGAGCCCATGATTAGCAATGCTGTGGAAGGAACTCAGCATTTAGTCCACAGCTATATGGGGAGCACCTGGTCTGTACGTGCCAGGTACTGAGCTGAGTCCTGGGGAGACGGCAGTAAATGGGGTACAGTCTGTCTTCAAGGGGAGGCTTGTGTGCATGGGAAGCTTCCCTGAGATAGGGGTACCAGGGGGCAGTTGGTCTAGATCAAGGATCTCAAGCTCAAATGTCTGCATGCACCAGGCAGAAAAACCAAATGTGCTAGGCCCGAGATAGTGGGGAATGTGGCACTGTGACCTCCCCCAGCAGACATGCCCTTCCAAACCCTCAGCCCCCTCTCAGCTCCTGCAAGCCAGCAGCAAGAGGAAATGCCTGCGCCAGGTTACCAAATCTTCTGAATTTTTTTTAAGAGATCCTGGAAATCCAGTTCATGTGGAATTTCCCACTTTAAAAATACCACGTGGGTCAAGCAAAGCCCTTGAGGCCCTGATATCCTGTGGGTTGCCAGTGTGTGACCTCTGGCTGAGCTCAAAGGCCTCTTGTAATGCTGAGCTCCAAGCTCTAGGACAAGCCTCAGACCATGGCAATTCTTCCGTAGCCACATCTGCTCGGGTGCTGGGTATGTTAAATGGGAACAATGTGTAGAATGGATAAAATTCAGTTCAGCTCATGGTGTCAGTAGGCCGGAACTGGAGTATAAATAAAATGAATAAAAACATCTAAGCATACTGCATAAATAAACTTGTGGACAGTGTGTCCTATGTTTCTCTTCATTAGACTTTCTTAGGTTTAATTTTTGAATAGGTTTATATGGTCCAAAATTCGGAAAGCAGAAAAAGGTATGCACTGGAAATCCCTCCCCCCTGTTTTCCAAAGCCTCTCATTCCACAAACAGCCAATGTTCTGGTTCTTGCATATTCTTCCAGAGATACAGGTAAAGATAAATATATATATATTTACATATATATATTTATGGATATATATTTACATTTATTTATGGATATATATTTACATTTATTTATGTATATATATTTACATTTAACACACATATATTTTTTTCATTCCTTTTATAGAAATGGTAGAATATATACTTTCTATATTTTCCTTTTTTAAAATTTATTTATTTATTTATAAAGTAGGCTCCATACCCAGCATGGAGCCCAACGTGGGGCTTGAACTCATGACCCCAAGATCAAGACCTGAACCGAGATCAAGAGTCAGATGCTTAACAGACTGAGCCACTGAGGTGTCCCCCTTTTTTAAATTAGTAATGTATCTTAGAGGAATTTCCTTATCAATGTGTATAAAGCTGCCTCATTCTTTTTAATGGCTGTATGGTATTTTATTGACTGACATACCATAATTTATATAACTGGTCTCCCAATCCATGGGTATTTAGGTTGTTTCCAATCTTTTGTTACATAAAAAAATTGTCCTAAATGGTAATCCTGTACATATGTCATTTTGTATGTGTAAATTCCTGGAAGTGTGGAATTGCTAGGTAAAAAGAAATACACAGGGGCACCTGGGTGGCTCAGTCCTTAAGCGTCTGCCTTCGGCTCAGGTCATGATCCCAGGGTCCTGGGATCAAGCCCTGCACTGCGGGGAGCCTGCTTCTTCCTCTCCTTCTGCCCCTTCCCCCGCTCGTGCTCTTTCTCTCTCTCTCAAATAAATAAAGTAAAATCTTAAAAAAAAATAAAAATAAATAGCCATTTTTGATCCTCTTGTCATATTGCCATCATAGAGATTTCAGATGTGTACTCCCATTGGCAACATAGGATGCTGTTTACCTACATTCTTCCCCAACACAATGTTACCAAGTGGTTTGATCTTCAACAATCTAAGTTGTGAGTAGTACAGTGTTCATTGGATCTTCTCTCACTATGTAGGAAGTGAGCATATTTTCATATCTTTAAGAGCTTTTCTTATTTTCCTTTCACTGAATTATGTGTTCAAGTCCTTAACCCATTTTTTTCTTTTGTGTGGCTCCTCTTATGGATTTGTTAGAGCTCCTTATATATTAAGAAAATTAGCCCCTTGTAGAGGAGTAAATATTTTCTCCACATTTGTTGTTATTACTTTTTTAAGCTTATGTTTGTTTTTCAATAGAATTCTTTATTTGTATAAAGGCAAACTTACTGATCTTTTTAAAAATTGGTCCTGGATTTTTTTGCCGTACTTACAGAGAGACCTTCCCCACTATGAAAGTATAAGGGTATTCTTCTATGGTATGTTCATTATTTTACTGTATCTTTGTATTTTCTAGTCTTTGATTTTGTGTGACTTGATCTCAGTGAATGGTATGAGGTATAAATTCAACCTCATGTTTTTTCCAACTGGCTACAGAATTGGCGCAGACCTGTATGGAGGAATTTCAGCTTCCTACCTCTGCATGTTTTCAGCTTCGTCAATAGTCTCAGGTAAAGCCTTCCCTTTGGTCTCCGGGAGCAGCAACACCAGTCCCCCAGCAACCAAGCCAACCACCGCTGGAAGCCAAACAGATGCTGATTACATTAGGAACTAAAACACGAAGGCTTTATAATCAGAACTCCCCTTACTTTAAAAAAAAAAAAATTATTTTTTGTGATTTTTCTATACTTACAGATTTCTTTGCTATCTCTGACTGTCCTATAAATATTTTGCTGATTCCAAACTCCATTGGATTACAATTCCTTATAGGGAGATGAAATACTCAACATTTTGAGTCAAGGTTATTCTAGGCTAGAGAACATTGCCATAATATTAAGATACATTGGAGTTAGAAAATAACTCTGAAAAAAAAAATCAACTCTTAGGAAAGGAAGAACATAACCCTGCCAATATAAAGCACTTAGTAATGAGAATGAGTCAGAAACTTGGAACATGACTAGCACCCGGAAGTAGGGTATCATATATCATTGCATCACAGCATTTAAAAAGTATAGCCAGGCCTACACTTTTAGTTCTAATTCAGGTGTTTGAGAAATTCCTTTTGTTCCTTTTTCCTTTGTCTCCAGCTGTAATTTTTTGCACATGCTGGGGAGTCATAGTAAACATTAGAGTGTTTATGTGTCTTTAAATTCCCATTTCCTTTTTGGAATTTTAAGGTTACATTTTATGTTTTGCGATAATCGAATGCAGGAAGTAGATGTGGGGTCTTCACTGGTTTTGGAGTTCCAAAAAAATGCACACTGGCCGTCTGTTTTTACATCTTTACAAAATGACAGGGATCGAGGCCACAGAGCTTAGTGGTTCAGGACGCCGGTTGTAGCTCTGGGTGCCTGGGATCCGGTTCTGAGCCCCCCCCACTCACTGGTCTCAGAGCCCTGGGAAGTTCGGTTCCTGACTCTTGGCCATAAAGTGGCGTGATATTCCCACCTCACATGCTTGTTGGCTATTTCAAGACCACAATCAGTACACCACTATTGTGGGCAAAAGAAAGGGAAATGAGTAAAAATGGAAAAGTATTTGTTTTGTTTCCTGCTAGCTACTCAGATTGGTGAGAAGAGAAGACGAACTACAAGCATCGATAACAGTGGGAGTTGTCTTTGAGTTTACTTGAAACGGTGAAATGCAATTAAAATCCTTGATCTTCAAGATAAAAAGCTTCTGCACAGCAAAGGAAACAGTCAACAAAACAAAGAGGCAACCCACAGAATGGGAGCAGATATTTGCAAATGACACTACAGATAAAGGGCTGGTATCCAAGATCTATAAAGAACTTCTCAAACTCAACACCCAAAAAACAAATAATCAAGTCAAAAAGTGGGCAGAAGATATGAAAAGACACTTCCCTGAAGAAGACATACAAATGGCTAACAGACACATGAAAAAATGTTCATCATCATTAGCCATCAGGGAAATTCAATTCAAAACCACACTGAGATACCACCTTACACCAGTTAGAATGGCAAAAATGGACAGGGAAAGAAACAACCAATGTTGGAGAGGTTGTGGAGACAGGGGAACCCTCTTACACTGTTGGTGGGAATGCAAGTTGGTACAGCCACTTTGGAAAACAGTGTGGAGGTGCCTCAAAAAGTTGAAAATAGAGCTACCCTATGACCCAGCAATTGCTCTACTGGGTATTTACCCCAAAGACACAGATGTAGTGAAAAGAAGGGCCATATGCACCCCAATGTTCATAGCAGCAATGTCCGCAATAGCCAAACTGTGGAAAGAGCCGAGATGCCCTTCGACAGATGAATGGATAAAGAAGATGTGGTCCATATATACGATGGAATATTACTCCGCCATCAGAAAGGATGAATACCCAACTTTTACATCAACATGGATGGGACTGGAGGAGACTATGCTAAGTGAAATAAGTCAAGCAGAGAAAGTCAATTATCATATGGTTTCACTTATTTGTGGAACATAAGGAATAACATGGAGGACATTAGGAGAAGGGGGGGGAAATGAAGGGAGGGGAATCGGAGGGAGAGACGAACCATGAGACACTATGGACTCTGAGAAACAAACAGGGTTCTAGAGGGGAGGGGGGTGGGGGGATGGGTTAGCCTGGTGATGGGTGTTAAGGGGGGCACGTACTGCATGGAGCACTGGGTGTTATACGAAAACAATGGATCGTGGATCACCACATCAAAAACTAATGATGTATTGTATGGTGACTAACGTAACATAATAAAATTTAATACAATAAAATAAAAATAAAAATAAAATAAAATAAAATCCTTGATCTTTCCCAGGGGAAGGTGAATCCCTGAGGGAGGGTCCACAGAGGCTCGTCTAGGTCTGGACCTGGCATTGCATTGTTAAAAGGTCCTTAGAGAAACACGAAGTCCCTGTTCTCCACCTAGAAATGTCTCACTGACCCATCGATCACTCACTGCCCACCTAAGGAAATGACCAAGGTTGAGGTGTCTCCACATTCCCCCTTGGAAGGAAGGAGTCCAGAGGGTGTTGTGGTATTTCCCCAAGATGGAAAGAAAGCTCTGCGCAGGTCCCTCAGCCAGTGTTGGGAGAGGAAGATGGCCGGGGTCCCCGAAGTGGTACCAGCCACCCTGTTGCCAAATCATGCTTCTGCCAGGATAAAGAGCTCCTGTTCTATCAACTTTGGCCATCTTACTATTACTAAGTCACAGCATAGAGAAATTCATTGGGTCTGTTTTGAAGGTGAGTTTTACTGGCAGTGTGGAACATTTGCTGGCCCATCTACAGAAGTGGAAAATTTCCCCCTCACAAATCCCTTGAGAAGAGGAATGAGCAGAGGTACTTGTACGTGACAATGCATGGCATTAGGAGAAAAGCCATCTGGGTGCACCCCCAGTGTGCAGAGCATCTCGTCCTCCCTCCCCTCAAATTAAGTGAGGGTTGTAGGCCCATGGGGAAAACTTTTATTTTTGTCAAATTAAAAGCAGCTCCCAGTGGGTCTAAAAGAAGACTGAGCTGGGTGCGTTGAGGCCTTCTGGCTAACACGAGGAGGCGAATGCTGTATGCATGAATCTGGTCACCCCTCTGCACCCCTCTGTGTGGCACACAGGAGAGGGTCTGTCCCATCGTCCACAGCTGTGGGGAAAGGAATGGACACGAGTGAATGGGAATGTCCACGATTCCCAGACCCCTTTCACAGTCTATAGTAGTTATGTTCAACATTGGCCTCTGTGTATTAATTGCTGATAGTTAGATTTGTCCCTGTCACCTTCCATGCTGCAGGTTGGGCAGTGGGGCGAGGGGGGGTTCTGCACTGGTACATTACTTCAGGGTTGGAGGGAAGGGTTGTACCAATCCTCCTTAAATCTAATTGCCCAAGGGATTTGGGGAAGGGGTGCCTGATACCAACACAAGTGCGCCATGACATGAACGCATTTCCTTAATGATGGTCTTTGTTTCCCCTGAGTTTTGAAATCGCTCTTTGCAACATTTTAGCTGCCTTTCTTTGAAGCAATGAAGTGAAAAGTTTTGTATTTTCCCACGTTCAGCCATCAAGGAGGCAGAAAGAGTAAGCTCTGTGACAAAGAGACCCAAGGAGGGGTGGAGATCGGTGAGGAGAGAGTTAGGGGCGTTCTTCAGGCAAACGGCTTTCCACCTCACTCCTTCTTGAACTTTGTACCGCTGAGGCCAGGAGTCCTAGGGGCTCCCACGCTTGGGTCTTAGCAGCAACTAATAGTATTACTTATGCTGGTATTACTAACACCGAGAGTAGTACTAATTATTAGCTGCATTCGGTAGTTGCCAGTAGGCATGATACTTATTTTGAGATGTAACAAAGGAGGCCCCTAGAAAAATAGATTTTTGTTCAAAGGTATGTCTGAGGGTTTCTCACCAAAAACCACCAGCGGAAGCTCATGCCAGATGTTGGTGAGCCGGTAGACCAGGAACGGCGTGATGATACCACCGATGTCACACATGGAGGAGCAGACAAGGACACCAAGATTCCTGAAATGCAGGGAACCGCTTTAACTTCCAGCTTCTCACGGTACAGTACTTATGCCCTACCCCACCCAAATTAATCCTTCCCCGAGTCACTGAAATGTCTGCAAACTGAAAAAAACGGTGTTCACGTTGTTTTCAACACACACAAATGGTGTATGAGTCATAATTCCACTCATATTCTTGTTGTACTTGTTTTATATTAGTTTTTGGAGGATTTTTAATGGGGGGGCAATTTTCACTTTTTACTTTGGTCATCTGGCTTCCCTGCACTGTTCCATGGTCTTGTTCGTACTGTGTCCTTTATTTATTTATTTCTTAATTAATTAATTAATTAATTAATGTATTTGAGAGAGGGTGAGTTAGAGAGAGAAAGAGACAAAGTGAGCTGGGGGGAGGGAGGGCCAGAGGGAGAGGGAGAAGCAGGGTCCCTGCCAAGCAAGGAGCCCGATGCAGGACTAGATCCCAGGACCAGGGGATCACGACCTGAGCAGAAGGCAGACACGTAACCGACTGAGCCACCCAGGCACCGCCTGTTCATACTGTTTCTGATGACTCTGTCCCATGGCCATTTGGTTGTTCCCTCTCTTGTAATCAGTGTCTTCTGTTCTCACTATACAGTGACTGTATTTCACCCCAGCCTGTAACTGTGAGATGTGGTCTGGCTACTGCCTTTAAATGTTCTTATCCTCTCTTGTCCTGTGGTTTGTTTTGGTTTTTGGTTTTTCTTGCCCCATGTTTTGAAAAGGAAGTGCCCTCTGCTGGTGCTTGTGGTCGTTCTAGCCTGTAAGCAAATGTCCCATCCACCCTCTCCATGCTGAGGAAAACGTGCTCACCTGATGAATGTGGGGTACAGCTCCGCATTGACCAGGCAAACCATTTCATAGGCCATTGTAATCCCCATTCTACCCAAGCACGCGACTGTGACTCTTAGCCACTGGAGATCTGCGGGGCAAAAACGCACCACTTACGTTGCAATACTCCCTGGTCTGCACAGTGCTCCAGAGGGGAAAGTCCACATTCCGGAATGGGATGAGAATGCACCATTCTTCTCTAAACTCAAGACTTCAGAGCAAAATTTCCCATGTTTGTTAGTTTTAACCTTAGGCGTGATTCTAACACACTCTTTAGAACTCAATCATTAATGACAACAGGATTGTACCAGTTTACAAAGCTGGGCCAACTCTAGTTTATACAGGCCATCCAAAAGAAACAGCAAAATATGGGCATATTCTAAGTAACTGCTAATGACTAAAGCATTCAAAGAAAGCTTCATGGTGCCAATAGGATTCTGTTGTACAGGTTTTTCTCCTCCTCATTGAGAAAGCATTTGAAAAGGAAAGAAAGGAACTGAATAATTGTGCATTGGTTGCATTTACCTAAGGTTTCTTATTTGTTCTGCAGGATGATGCAGGGAGCTCAAGGGAGTTGCCTAAATAGTATCTGGAAAATGCTGGAATAAGACTTCAAGCCTGGGCCTGCTCTACCCCAAAGCCCATGCTCTCTGTTCTGGGCCAGCTCCATGGCCTGTGGCATGTGTCCTCTTAGTCTCTTGTTATAGTACATTAGAGAACAGTCAGGTGTGATTATGTTAAAGCAGACAACCCTTGGCTCCAATTGTTCTTAAAGACAGGGTGGCCATATGGGTTTGCTCAGGAAGGTCCCAGATACTGTGTTCATTCTTTCCAAATTGACTTGAATGATAAATTACATCGTTTTACTATCAGAGGGTTGTGACATCCCCTCTTCACGCAGCCTTGGAAGACAAGACCCCAGTGTGGCTCGACACTTACCCTCAGGGATGAAAACGGAGGCGAGGCAGGCTGCTCCTGCCAGGAGATTTGATGCAGCCCATGGAAACCGACGACCTATACGGTCAATGGTGAGGATGATGATGAGGGCAGCTGGGAATTCCACCAGGGCAGAGTAGAAGAAATCCAAGTAGATATTGCTCCCTGCAAGGCCCATGTGCATGATGAGGCCTTGGTAGAGAACAGAGCTTGTGAACCTAAGCAAAGAGGAGAAGCTCAGGTCAAGCCAAGCACCAGAAGCAAGTCATCAAAAAGGAGAGGCTTCTGGAAAAAGAAGAGTTGATCGTGGGTCATCTTTCTTTGTCATCTTCTTATTGCTTTTCCCTTCATTCTACTGCTTTTCCATGATCTGAACCACGGCGGTGGCTGACTGTGACCCCAGAACCAGGAAAGGAGAAGAAAGCAGGATTGCACTCCCTGGCCAAATTGAAAAGTAGGAAGAAATGTCTTTCTAGGTAACTTATTTGGTGAAACTGTATCAGGTTATTAGTGGTTGCTAATTATTTCTCTCTTTGTGGTCTTCTAATGGAATTGGGATCAAAGGGATTGACTACTTAATTCAAATTTTAGGAAACCAGAGACCCAAACGGGTACCAAATCCCCAAACGGGTATAGCCTCCCTTCTTGCTGATTTCTCTTCTGACACAATATAGACAACATTTTGATGATGTTTTTTGGTTGTGTTTTGTGGACCAGAAGTTATCTGCAATGGCAAATAAGAGGATGCTTGGCAACAGTCACAACTATTCAGAAAAGAAGGGTACAAAGCCAAATTTCCTGGCTGTATTTTATAGGTAGTATTGTCAAGGTTGCTAAATGAGTTCCTGAGGAGCCTTGCTTCTGTCCGTGATTCCAAATCTTCGTGTGGCTGGCGTGAGCCCCGGGACACCCTGAAAGGAAAGTGAGCTGCACTAAGGAAGGCTTGGTGCAGGGTGAACGGCTCACAGCTCCAGGAGCAGCCTGCAGACCATAGAAACAATCGTGCGTCAGCCACCGGACTGTGGAGCCAGTGGATTATTCCTTGTGGTTTATTCTCCTTCATAAGTTTATTTCTTTCTCCAATAGACAAGAAAGGGAAAAGATCCTTCCCTTGCTAGCCCTGTACAATAAGGAGAGATCTATACTCATCATAGGTATAGAACTGGTAGTTCTCAGGTTGGGCTATATTTCAGACTTACCTGGAGAATGTTAAAATATTGGTGCCTAGACTTTCCCTGGGCCAATTCCATCAGTATTTTCTGGGGCCAGGGTGGGGGTTCTGGCGTTGTTATTTTATGATCTCGCAGGACGTTCTAAGGCAATGCCAAGGTTGAGGACATACTTATCTATGCTTTGAGATTGTAGGCTGACTTCAGACACCAGCCTGAAGAAATGGTATCAGAAAACACGGCTATAAATGAGTCCCCTTGCTGCCCACTGTCCATACTTATACTGAAGCTAGGCTGTGACAGTGCTGTCTTGGTCCCTCCCCTAATGTGGATGACGGGGATAAAAAAAAAAATAGTGGAGGGATTTTAAAGTGAAAAACATTCCTTACCAGTTGTACATCAAGATCAAAGTGTGTTTCCTTATCTGAGGGGTTCTGACCAAGTCAAGAAATGAAGGATTCAGCTTCTCATCAACTTCCTCTTCAGGTCTGAGGCTCTAGGAATGGAAACAGGAGGAACAGCTTTGTGTGGTGAAAGATGGTGTCCCCAGGTAAGACAGGGAATCCCGACATAAGACAGGGAATCCTGACAGTACCTGACACCTGCTGAGGGCTTCTAATGAGCCTTTCACACTTATTAGCTCATTTAACCTTGGAGAGCCGGGAAGTTCGGTTCCATTTTTTTCATCCCCTTTCACAGAAGGCGAAGCTGGGCTAGTGGGAGTTAGGTCACTCATGGGCATATGTCCAGCGGCACTGGAGGTCAAGCACAGGGGGGCAGAAGAAGGCCCAGCCCAGGGCCCCTGAGGGCTGAGGGCACCGGGCGTGCTCCCTGCCGGACCAGGGGCGGCCCATCGCTCAGGAGGCTCTGGTCCGGGACCTTGGCACTTGGAGCAGCTCGGTATTGCCTGGAGCTTGTTCGAGTGAAAGACCCAGGGACCCTGTCCAGACACGTTGAACTGGAATCTGCATTTCGGCAAGGTCCCCAGGGGCATCCTGGGCACAGGAATTAATTAACGTTTGGGAAGCCCTGCGCTGGAAGAAAACAGTAGGTGGTGCGAGTTGAGATTCAATCTCCAGGGCTCAGGAAGCAGAACCTTTGCAAAAACCACTTCTTCCTATAGCCACACAGGAGGGTGTCTGCAAGCCCAAGGAGCAGGGGAAGAACCTCCTGCAGACTCACCGCTCTCATGTGAATGAACTCTGCCCTTTGGCCAGACTGTGACTCGAGTGTGCTTTAATCCCTTACCAATTTCTGAAAGGATCTGAAACTTAAGAATCAGGGCTATGCTGGTTATCTGTGGAAAAGGGGATCTACCCCAACCACCCAGAAACCGGAGAGGAAGTAAAAAAAAAAAAGGCTTCCGAGTCCCCAAATGCTCACTCTAAAGTCATGTAAATCATAAATGCTTACAGGTAACCTGTCTTAGATCCTGGCACAGAGACGATTACTCTTATTTTGACAGAGTTTTCTAATCAGCTTGATTTTTGCTTTTCCATCCCCTGTCGGATCAAAAGGCTTCAGCTAAAGGTGATGAGGTCTACCAAAGGCAAACCATGAAATGCAGAGAAAACGGACACCCCCGTGTTGTGTTTCATTTTAAAAGACAGGAGACTGCTCACAATGTTTTGGGACAATTTTCTATCCAAAATGTTTAAAATTCTAAGAAATGATTTGTGTCTGAAGACTCTTCCCTCCAGGGAGAAGCCCCCTCCCTGAGCACGCAGATGGACACCCAGGGAAGGAAAATATCTGGTACCTGGGTACCAGTGCCCCCCACAGCCTTGGGTTGCACACGATAGAAGCTCCTCGTTTGCCTTTAAATGATTTTTGGTTTCCTTTAGTTTTATGTTTTTGAATGATTTAGAATTTTCTTTACCAGGGACCATGAATCCTAGTACGACAGAAATATCCTATTGCATATGAGCCCTGTCTGTGACTCCCTATTGAGAATGCATGGCTTTCCCAGATCCTCCTGTTCCCTGATCTGATAATTCAGCTGCTTGCTTACCTGAAGGGAGGCCGGCAGAGATTTTCCATTTTTCTTTGCGATGTACTTAATGACTCCCATGGCTTTAGCACTTTTGTTCTGGGAGATCAGCCACCTCGGAGACTCAGGTATGCACCTAGGGTATAGCACAATGTTATCAGTGCTGTTCAGTATGGGATGGGGGCATCTTCCTGAGCTTCCTTCCCCAGGGGTCATAATCAAATTTCTGCGAGGGATCTTACACAGTGAAGTTCAGTTGGATCTACAAAGGAGCTAAAGTTGTGCAGGGGCTGCCCAGCAAAAGAAATCAACAAAATAAGAAAGCAGCCTACTGGATGGGAGAAAATATTTACAAATCATATATCAGGTGAGGGACGAATGCCCAAAATATACAAAGAACTCATACAACTCAACTGAAAAAAAAACTGACTTAAAAATGGGCAGAGAATCTTAATATACATTTTCCCAAAAAAGACATTCAGATGGCCAATAGGTACATGAAAAGATGCTCAACATCACTCATCACCAGGGAAACACAAATTGAAGCCACAATGAGATGTCACTTCACATCTGTTGGGAAGGCTAGAATCAACAAAATAAGAAATAACATGCTGACCAGGGTGTAGGGGAAGGGAATGCAAACTGGTGCAGCCACTGTGGGAAACGATGCGGAGGGTCCTCAAAAGATTAAAAACAGAACTACCGTATGATCCAGCCGTTCCACTTCTGGGTATTTATTAGAAGGAAAGAGAAATGCTAATTCAAAAAGATATACACACCCCTATGTTTCTTGCAGCATTACCTACAAGAGCCAAGTCGTGGAAACAACCTAAGGGTGTGTGTGTGTGTGTGTGTGTGTGTGTAATGGAATATTACTCAGCCATATAAAAGAATGACGTTTTATCATCTGTGACAACATGGGTGGGCCTAGAAGGTATTATGCTCAGTGAAATAAGTCAGAGAAAGACAAATACCATATGATTTCACTTATATGTGGAACCTAAAACAAACAAAGTTCATAGACACAGGGAACAGATTGGTGGGGGAGGAGGTGGACAGAATGGGTGAGGGGGTCAAAAGGCACCAACTTCCAGTTACAAAATAAATAAATCCTGAGGATATGATATATAGCACGGTGACTATAGTTAATAATACTATATTGCATGGGGCACCTGGGCGGCTCGGTCAGTTGGGCATCTGCCTTCAGCTCAGCTCATGATCCCGGGCTCCTGGGGCCAAGCCCCGCCTCGGGCTCCCTGCTCCGAGGGGAGGGGTTGTGGTATGTGGGTTTTTCCTCCTTCATCCGCTTTTATTCAGCCTTATGCAGGAAACTTGCAGGCCCCCTCTTCAGAGAGTTCCCAGTGGGACTCTGCAAAGCAGGGGTCAGCTGAATATCCAGCCAGCCCTGTGCTAGAGGGACGAGAAGCAGGTTGGCCGGGGCTCGGCCCGTGCTGAGAGCTGACAGCCGGGCTGCAGGGGTGCTGGTGGCAGGATGCGGTTCTGTCATGGGGGAAAGCAAGAACTTTATGTGTATTATTCTGAGAGCTGATTTCTCAAAGAAGGAGGTAAGAATTTGAGGCAAGCTGGTGGATCTGGGCAGACACAGGGAGCCGCTGGAGCTCCTTGAGCAGGACTCCGGCCACTTGGATCTGTGTTTGGAGACCACTCGGAGCGGCTGGCTCAGGGTCGATGGGAGGAAGAGGGACTGGCAGGCTGGAGGTAGCAGGGCTGGCCTGGTGGGAGTTCTGGCCTAGAGTCATGTGGGCCCTCACTCCGGGAGAGAAGGTTGCTCTGAGAGGTGGGGCTTAAAGGAACTTGGGACGGAAGTTTGTGGGAGTGCAATGGAGAGAGGACTCAATGACAACTGATGAAGATTCGACATTAAGAATGGAAATGTGGTGAGCTCAGCCATAATCAATCCACAGCTCACAGAGCGCATCCCTTCTGCTATGACACCATAGGGCGATTTTTCTAGATCACATTTGGTGCATAGGTTCAGCCCCGTCACCCACACCTCAGGAAGCAGGGTCAGTTCAGCCAGGTGTTGCATGAACTGAAGGGCCAAGAAGGTGAAGGACTTGGGAACCAGGTCAGAGAAGACAGGAACCATAAATGGCTAGCCTACAGGCGGAAAGTCTGGGTGGACTCTCAGGGGCATATCCAGATAGTGCAAGAATTACCCAGGAGAATAGAAATTAACTTTTTGAAGCTCTAAGTGCAGAATTGGGTGCCCTGGGTACACTTGCCGGGAACGTAAATTCTGGCTCAATGAGAAGTCTCTGGAACATGAGCTTTGGGTTCCATAGTAAAGCGGCTTGCTTGATGATGAAGTAGGAGTTAGCCATTAACAGTGTTACCTGCCCTCCAACAGCTGACAGCCTACTGGGACAGACGGACAAGTCCCTCAGTGTCAAGTGAACGGCTGATCTCAACAAGCAGTAATATGTGAGGGTTACAGAGACGTGTGTGTAATGCCACGGGGCAGGGGACCGTGGCCCCACCTGGGCAGGCTGATCAAGGCCAGCCGGCACAGAAGTCCCTCCTCCGGTGACTGCCACATCCCCTCTGCCCCCATAGCTCCTCCCTTCTAGTCATGGCAGCCCCTCTCTCTTCTTCTGTCCTGGCTCCTCATCCTCAGCTTGCCTTTTCAGGATTTGGTGTTTTCTTGTGATCTACCCCATTTCCTTCCGCTCCTGACTCTGCTCATTTTCTCTGAGTGATTGCCTCCATCCCGTAGCTACAACAAAGACGGGAATTTTACTTGAATTCCTGATCCTTACGTTCAACCCCGCCTGGCTATGCGCATGTTCATGTCCTTTCTGAATCTCCAACTTCTGCACGTCCCAAGCTCGCCTCATCATCCCACCTTTCAAACCTCCTCCTGTGTTCCTTATCTCTGAACGGTGCCCCCAGCACATACACACAAACCTCCGCTCCACCCACGAGGCACCTCTTCTCTCTAAACCTTCACATTCAGTCTCCACCAACCTCTGTCATTGCTACCTGATGCAATGTGTTTACAGTTTCCTTCACTTGTCTTATTTCAGGCCCTGTCTTCTCTTGCAAGGATCATGGCAATAGTTCCTTGCCTAATGTCTTTATCCCCACTCTTGCCCCCCAAACACCTGTTTTCTACTCTACATCGCCAGGGATCTTTTAATGTTGGTGGTTGCATCGTGGAGGTTATAGATTTGTAAGTAAATTAAATTTGATTCTATTGAGTAAAAATGGCAAGAAGGAGGGCTCCAGAGGTGGTCAGAACTTGGATAATAGGTGTGTCTTTTCTGTTGTGCTAAAGCATCAGGGAAACAAAACTGTTGAAAGATTTTGAGGCAGGAGAGGAACACGGTGGAACTGGATTTTAGAAATGAAACTTGGATTGGAGGATGGCAGAACAAGTGTTGAAGAAACCAGGAAGAGTTTATTGCAGGTATGGCTTCAGAGACATAAAAAGAGGAAGAATGGATATGGGAGGGGGGTTAGGGTTAGTCTCAAGAGTTTGACCAGCTTTTGGAGGAGAGACAGGCTTCCTGGGAAGGGTTGAGATGCTTAATTCTTAGACAAGGCGACTATGGGAAGAACAAGTGGATACATCCAGAAAGTGGCTTGTTGCATGGGAGAGGGGTTTGCTTGTGATAACTCAGCATCCCTCTTGCTTTACTTCGGGTAACCTCACATTAGGGATTTCTGATAGTTTCTGCTGTTTCCACTGCTTCCGTGGTTCCCTCGGCAGGTGTAACAAACATTTCGCATGCCCTGGAGACTCTGATTTGCATGGTCTGTCTGGGGTGTCCTGTTGGCCTGATCTGGGAATAGGACTGATGGGATTGATTAGAGATGTCTGCCTTGGGCAGGGACATGGGGAAGTGGTGACACAGCTACACTCCATCTTCTCTTACACTAAAGTCTCCTCTGAGCAGGGAGAGCGTAAGAATACTACTATTGTCAATCTCTGCCAAGGGCACCACAGTCACTAGAAGTTAATGTAAGCAACACATAATTTGGGGCGCCTGAGTGGCTCAGTGGGTTGAGGGTCCGACTCTTGATTTTGGCTCAGGTGGTGACCTCAGGGTCATGCGATCCAGCCCCTCGTTGGGCTCTGAGCTAAGCAAGGAGTCTGCTTGAGATTCTCTCTCTCCTTCGCCCTCTGCCCCTCCCCCACCTCACGTGGCCTCTCTCTCTCTCTCAAAAATGAATCAATAAATCTTAAAAAGAAATAAAATAAACACCACATAGATAATGTGAAAAGACATAAATCTAAAAACTCTTAAGCCCAAAGTAAAAGGACATTTGATTTCTAGAGAGGAAGACAGATTGAAGCTCATGGTATTTTTTTGGTTTTGTTTTGTTTTTTTAATCCTGAAACATGGACCTGGACTTTTCATGAAAGGAAAGAGTGAAGGACACGTTGGAATTTGGAAGGACAGTGTGCCTTAGGGGAGGCAGCCTTTTCAGAGAAATGAAATAGTTCAAATTCTTTCTTTTTTTGTTCCAAATGGACTTACCAGTAATAGAGCAAGAAGCAGATGTTGGGCAGAGTAGCAGTGAGCTGTAGCCACCTCCAATGAGGAAGCACATAGGCCACCCCAGCCAATGCCAGGAGCCCAGCGGTGAAGGCCACTTGGTAAACAACACCCACTGTTCTCCGATAGCTCAGCCCGACAAATTCTGTAACTGCAGAGAGAACCCAAATGGTCAATGCAAGTTGGTAGGACAATGACTTGGCTGTCCAATTTTGGGGAAACGAGCATGCCAACCTCAAAAAAGAGGCCAAATTCTAGAAGTTTTTTAAATAGCTTTCTGAAAAATTTTAAACGTTACTTGGGGCCTATTGTGTTATAATTATTGCTGCCACATTAATTAATCTAAGATCTTGTAATTCCACATTGGGTGAGGTGAGAGGCCTGCCAGTGTGAGCAAGATGTGTGATTTAGAGAATAATTTCAAGGGCAAATGCAACTGGATTTCAGATACATGCAAAAATTGTTTTGAAGCAATCCAAAGTTGTTTTTATTTTTTTTTAATTGTTTTTGCCTTTAAAAAAAATCCAGTTGTTTTTTATTTGCAAAATTTTGATCTAGAATAGTAAGGCAATGGTAATTTAAGTCCTGAATAAATGGATCAAAGATTGACTTGAGACTGTAGGTGGTTTTTATGTAAATGAACATCTCAATACAACTCGTTCTCTTATATGAGTTAAATATTTTCTTGGCAATCCTGATAATGTGTGTAAATGGCTTGGAAACCTGGTAGTGGGTTTAGTGGGTTTCCACATGATTGGTCAACTAGTACTGCTTGCAAGAACTGATTTTTAAATTTCCAGGAATTTTGCAAGCTGGTTTTTAAACCCATTGGTATCTTAAAGTCAGTCATGGTGGGAGTATTTACAATTTAGAAATCAGACAACACCAAAAATCAGGGCTTTTTGTTTTCGAAAAGCCAGGTTATCAGCACACCACTGCATGTGGTAGAATAATCAGCTTTCTCCCATTCCATGACTGCATCTTGACAGATGTGTGGAGTCTGTAGTACATGGATTTAGGGGATAGTCATTTCTATATCACACACATACTAGAATTTAAACTCCAGCTATTCCATGAGCCACAGACCTTTGGCTCTAAATGTTTAGTAATCATGTTAAAGACTTCAACTATTTATAAACCATATAGAAATGCCCTCAAAAGATATTTCTATATATTACTGCAAATGATCAAAAAGTATTTAAAACAAAGTTAAGCGAAAGTCTGTAAGTGCTCAGTAAATAGAAATATTTCGAAGTGGTTGGGGTCATGGATGGGGTCTGGGGGTCATGGGGCAGAAAGAGGTCAAGCAGCAAGATGTACCTCAAGGACAGTGAGAGGGACTGGAGAAGAAATTAATGGGCAGAAGGCTGAAATTTAAATTTATACAATTAAATTATACCTATTTCTACATATCATGTGTTCTAAAAACCAAATTACAGATTGAATAACAGTACATTAATAAATTACTTTGCTGCCCACATATAGATTAAATGTCTACCAGGACAGCACATAATAGCATCCAGCATCTTTCTTCTGAGTTGCAAATTAACTTTACCAGGTACAATTTTAAGCACACATATTCTAGCTCTCATGGGTAACCAGGGTTTTATGATGGTGATGGTTTCAATTTCAAAGCATCCATTTCCTTTCATTGGATGCTATTTGAGTGTTGCCAAGGGAAAAGAAAGATGGAGTTCATTCCCAAGATCTAATTAGGACGCTAATTTTTCTTAATATGGCTTTAAAGATGCTATGCTGTTAGGATTCAAATATTCTCCTATACTTCATGGATCTTCCGCGTAACTCTGGCTGCTAGTGAGTGCGACGGAAAGATATTCCTCGTCAGACAAGTGGCTGGGGAACTTAGACTCTCCACAGTGCTCACGTTCTCCCTTTCCATGTATATACATTGAGGATAACAAGAGATTTCCTAGAATCCATTTATGCAAAGCAGTCAAGTCCCTTATAAGTCTGACGTATCTGTCACCACATAATTTTCCATGTGTAGGCCTGGTAGGCTAGATTTTCTCTGTGTGTAACACCCCAGGGTACAGAAAACTTTTTCCTAAGAAGTTATATTAGAATCTGGACGGCTTGATGTTTACCCTCATTTCTGTCTTCATTGTTTTCTTTAGAGGAAGAATACAGAACGAGTGGACTGAAAAGATTTTAGAAATCCTTTTGATACAGAAAAAAAAAAATCTCTCAACATTTTCTTGAAGCTGGGTCCATTTTTTGGCACAGCCCCCTCCTGTCTCCTGAGGATTTGGGCAGCAACATGGCTTTGTTCTCACAGCTATAGCCACGAGCAATTCTTACTCAGGATGTAGCCTATTAACCAGCCTGCCTTGCTGACCAGCCCCTGGATCAAGCGGAAAATTAACACCCATGTATAGTTTGGGGAAACGGCCATGAGAACTCCAGATGCAGCATTTATGAGGATCGTCACCAAGAGGCAGAGCTTACGACCAAACCTGCAAGGAGAGAAACAAAGAGAGAACATAGAATTAGATTAGATTCATGAAGCCTGTAGAAAATGGCATGGGAGCTACGGAAATCTTAAGGGGAGGTTAGCTCTGAATTATGCAAACTCAGGAGGCTCGGATTGATGCCCATCAAGAGAATCCCTGACTTCAGGTTAGTTTGCTTCAGCACTTTCCCTCAGGGCGTTCTGTGAAAATTCTATGCACAATGAGCCCGTTCACCCCAGGGCTAGAGAACCTTCTCAGTCCCACACTGTGGAGGGTATTCAGGCAGGGGCTGATTCTTCCAGGCCACCCAGTGCTGAATGCCCTAGGGGCCCGTCTGGGTCTTCCATCATCGTAGGAGTGGGGGCCTTTGCACTAACAGTCTCAACCAACTGCCCATCCAAGAGTTTTTGCTTTAGGAAAAAGAAAATTCAGTGTTTAATGTATTCCCTCATCCATTTTCAACACTGCTTTTGGACTTTGTGTTATTTGCAAGTCTCCATGGAAAAGGTCTCTGGTGTCAGCTGTGGGGTGGGGGTGGGGCATCTTTGTCCTGGAGTACCCCAGCAAGATAGGTTCCACACCTTTGGTCTGAGGGACTTGGGTTTCATCAGCTGAGGGACCTGGAGAGTGTCCCAGGACACAGAGGAGGGGAAAACTTAGAGACCTGGTTGAATTTTGGCTTTATCACTTAGTGTGATGTAGGCCGGTTACTCAACCTTTCTCAATTTCCTCGTCTGGTAAAGACCTATCTGACCCAGTTGACAAGAGGATTAAGTGAGGATATTACACGTAAAGAGCTAGACAGTTGGTCTCCCCCATTTCCTGCCTTCTGTTTGTAAGGCAGGCTCTCTGAAAGTTGACTTGGGACAACTCGTTCATATTGTCATCATGTCATCATGCCCACCTTGTTTTGTTCTAAGAGACACCCTAATTGGCCGTTAATGGATATTTTAAAGATTCTTCATAGAAAGCAGTGTTTTATTTAATCTTTTCGTATGTACTTCAAACTGAAGAGTCACGAGTGCTTTATGTCATTCACTTTGCACATTTGATGGTGGATGAATATTTTTTATCAGCCGTTCTGCTTGTAGGCATCTGTGTTCTAGTGTCGATTTCAATATTAACTGACCATGTAAAAATAATCTGCAACATCATTAACAATTATTTGGGATGTGAATGTTTTAAATCTGAAATTTAGAGATCAAGCAGTCTCACGAGTAATTAATGTAAACGGATAAAATTCTTAAAACCCTCTTTTGGCTATTCAGTTCTTTTTTTTTTTTTAAGATTATTTATTTATTTATTTATTTATTTATTTGAGAGAGAGAGAGCATGAGAGGGAAGAGGGTCAGAGGGAGAAGCAGACTCCCTGCTGAGCAGGGAGCCCGAGGCAGGACTCGATCCCGGGACTCCAGGATCATGACCTGAGCCAAAGGCAGTCGCTTAACCAACTGAGCCACCCAGGCACCTCTGGCTATGCAGTTCTTAATTCTCAGTTAATTGTTCCCCACTGTAAATATCTGCCTCCTTGGCCATTTTTTTAGAGATAGAGAGAAAGAGAGAGAGAGAGAGAGCAAGTGGGGAGAGGAGCAGAGGAAGAGGGACAAGCAGACTCTGTGCTGAGCACAGAGCCCAGTGTCGGACTCCATCTCACGACCCTGAGAACATGACCTGAGTCGAAACCAAGAATTGGATGCTTAACTGACTGAGTCACCCAGACACCCCTACCTCCTTGGCCTTTTATTCAAAGTCTTCTAAAGTCACATCTCAACAAAGTATTTTCGCCTTTCTTCCCATATTCTCCCACTAAATCCCTTTCTTTACCCCCGAGGAGTTTATAAACATTTGCTCAGGGGATAGCTCTCTAGCTTCCAAAGTTGACTTGGGCATACCATAGTAGTCCTGCTCCTGTAGATGGATAAAATCCTGTGGCTGATAAGGGAGTATATTTACCATTGGAAACTCAGAGCATGGAAACCTTCAGAAAATCAAAGCTATGATGCAAAAAAACTTCAGTGGGGGATATGTTCCAAATAAGGACATAATGTTATTACAAAAATATGGCATGGCTGGAAGAAGTTTGGGAGATCTAGGATAGTGGTTTGAGACTTCTCCCTGCAACAGGATCACGTAAGTGATTAAATGAAAAATAAAGAGCTAAAACAGCAGGGCGGGGGGGACTCCAGTACTGCTAGCTTCATAAATCCATTAGCTACTTACTACTCAATTTGGCCCAGGCCTCATCAGCAACACCTGGGAGTGGTTAGAAATGCAGGGCTCACTCTAGGCCCCACTGGATCAGAATCAGAGTTCTAACAAAATCCGGGTGGTTTATATGCACATTAACATTGGGAAGCACTACTTTCATGTCACTGAGTTTCCTCATCTGCAAATTGGGGATAACAAAATCATTTTAAAAAGGCTGTTTTGATCCTAAATGACGTATAACACATCTGGATGCCCAATACAGTGCCTTGGCACATAGTCGGTAGTAGGGAGCTTGTTTAGGAGAGTTTCACATAGTTGGGTAAGTTTGACGATGACCCACTGGGGCTTTGATTCTGCTCTGATCTAGTTCCCTCATGAAATATAGACTGTGGGTGCTGGCTCTTGGGAGCTGATTGTTAGGCTTTCAGAAAATTTTCGAACTAATTGTTGAACACAGTCATTGTTAAAAATTACATCATACACTTAAGTAAATTATATTAAAAACAAGTGTAATAAACATGCAAAAACACTGTTTCCTAATTATTTTACCATGTTTGATGATTGTTGACGCTCGTGAGATTATTTACTTGTGTCCTTTGCATCTGTACAGTGGAAATACTGTAAAATGGTGCGTATTTCTAGCCAACTCTGTGTTCAGTGACCTCATTTTTTGGTAGCTTGAAACGACCACGGTGGGAGTATGTACACCATGGAAATCAGCAAATGGTATACATCAAGGCTTTATCCCCCAGAAAGCCAGTCATTGAACTTTTATAAGCATGCCACTAAATACAGAGCTTATAATTACTGATCAGTGGAGTAACAAATCTGGAATTGGTGAGAGATGACTTTTTTGTGTCAGGTGATACTAAAAAACATTCTTTAGGAGGTTTGAATGATGACATAAATTAGACATATTATAAAAAGGTTTATTTTCAAACTCTCTGACACATGCCCATCCTTCCTTCCTCCAGTCCATTTGCAAACTGACCTTCAGAAAGCTGACATGGTGTAAACCGCCGTATCCTTATTTACAACATTTTCATAATATCCTTCTGGTCTTCTTCTAAAAGCTACCTTAATCAACCGATGGTTCATATTTTTCAAAAGTATCATGGAAGACAATCTATTTTATTTAATGTTGGTTTAATCTGTAGCATAAAATGAGTTTCCATGAGATTCTTGTACCCTTGTATAAGATCTGAATATTGTCCAGAAATAGGCATCAAGTATACAAAGGTAACTTGCCTTTTCTTTTTCTCCACTGGCTGTTGTCTTATTACCCACTCTCACATGCATACCTGAGTAGAACAGAAAGGAAGAGGCAACAACCACCCAAACTTCAGGCAACTTAAGAAAAAGAAATGGAGGTTTGGATATTCATTTTTGCGGGGAAGAATAATGAGTAATCAACTTTGCATAGGAGATTTCAACAATAGGAACAAAATAATGAGGTCATCCAAGAAGGTGGATAATTGAGGATTATAAATCAGGAATGCACTGTCAGTGGGGAATTATAACCAGTCTCCTACTCCTTGAGTGGGATGAGAATAATTAACTTATTTATTTAACCAGCTGTGAGGCTCAGCCACCTATTTGCTCACTTCCAGTTGAGTGTTAGTAGCTCTGCCTTAGAGGGAACAAGGGAGCGGAGCGGGGGGTGAGGAGCCGACGGACGGGCCAGACAGACACACTGGAGCAAGGCAGACCCCAGACTGTCCCTTGCCGGCAACTCTCCTGACTTACAGAGTCTTCTCCAAACCACAGACCTCACTTGTGGGGCAAGAAAAATAAAGGCCGATGACCTTCCTCTTTACCTCACAAGCCTCCCACACAAAGGAAGAACCTTTAAAGGAGGACTAAGCAGACAGTTACAGAAGTGGCGTGAAGGACGGAGCTGCCCTGTGGCTCAGTGGCCTCAACTGCCCTTCCCCCCGCCCCCTGCTGCCACAGTGGGGGCCCAGGCTATGAAACTGCAGATGCCCCTGGGAGAGGACAGATTAAGCTATTGTTATTAATCTTTAACTCACTTGCAAGTTTTCCTCCAGCCTGACAATACAGCATAATCAAAGAAAATATTCGATTTACATTTAATATAATGCTCACGGGTTTGGGTTTATTTGCATCACATTGGAGAGGGCAACAAGCATAAAGTGCATCTGGCATTTATTTCAGAATTAAATATATATTTATATTTTGTAATAAATATAAATTTATTTTGTAATAAATATAAATATAAATTTATTAAACAGATTAGACTACATATATTTATTCTATAGTTCTATATCATGAGCTCATGGGTGACTAGTTATTAAAGAGAATGATACTGTCCAAACAGTTAAGCATGGTGCCTGGCACATGGACAATACCCAATAAATAGTATTATGAGTGCTAAAGTATCAACTATAAAGCAAATTTTTCTGTTCATTTCCCTTTTGAGGACTCCTAAAAATATCTAATTGGCCATCAACCTGGTAAAGATGCCTGTTATAAAGAACTGTCAGCACTGCGAATCTGGGATTTCAAAGTGATGGATAAATAAGACATACAGGCACAGCTGGATTCATACAACTCACGGAAAACTAGCTCCCTGAAGACACAGACCATCCAAGGGGACCATTTGCTATATGTTCTATACAGAGAGGTCTTTTCTCATCTCTCTCCAGGGACACTGACATTATGGAAGTGGATATTTACATCTGTCAGTGTAGATGGACCCAGTTTCCCTTTTACCAGATCATATCCTGCGTTCCACACCTATAATTACATCTGGCCCCAGGGCCCCAATTCAGTACTCCTACAATGCCAAGGACCAGACAGGGACAGCCACACGGAGAGTCTATACTGGCTTTGGGTGTAGGAGAGGCAGGCAAAGGAGGGAGAGCTCAGGGCCCTGCAGGCTCATGGATGGGGGAATGATGATGAGGCCAATGAATTGGGAATCACAAAAGGGATCAAGTCATCTATGACTCTCCCTTCTGACCCTAGCCCACAAGGAGAAACTGCTGCCTAAGGGAGAAATGTTCCTCTATGGCCCCAGGGAATTGGAAAATAGTCACATCGGTAGTGCCGATCAAAGCAGCAGAAGAAACCTCAAATTGTCAAGACGACTGACATGAGGCCAGGAAATTGTGGCCTTTGTGTTTGGGGAAAGGATGCTATTCAAGCAGGGGCAAGTGAATCCAAGTGCTTCCCGGACCTGCAGGACTTCTTAAATTCCACCAAATTCACGTGGCACCTACCTGTCTGCTAGGTAGCCGATACCCACAGCACCGATAAAAAATCCTGCATTCACAGTCGACTGAAACAGGTCCAGCATCCAGGAATTGGCACACACTAGGTTAAACTGCAGAGGGGCGAAAGGTTTCCCGGGTCAGGAGAGAAAACAACATTCTATTAGACCCAACTCAACCCAGGGAAACTCATTGAATATTCCTTGCATTGAACTGATGTGGCTGAATGGCATGGTGATAAACCAACTGTTCCTTGTTTATATGAATTTTCTTTACACAAGTGGAAGATTTGTCCCATAATCTATTTAGCATTCCCTCTGGAAGTACGTCATTAAGCCAAATTCTGTTGTTGGCTAAATCAGCTGAAATCAGGTTTCCCTTTCTTTTTAAATATATATATTTTTAAAAGATTTTATTTGAGAGAGAGAGAGAAGGGAGGGCAGAGGCAGAGGGACAAGCAGACTCCCCGCTGAGCAGGGAGCCCGATGTGGGCTCTATCCCAGGACCCCGGGATCATGAGCCAAGTGGAAGGCAGAGGCTTAACCCACTGAGCCACCCAGTGCCCCCCCCCACTTTCCCTTTCTAACTTTAATACACAGAAGCAAATTGGTGTGTAAATAGGATATAAATGCTGCCCCAAGGAAGTTGGGCTGTTTAGCTTCTCTTTGCTGTCTCTTTAACGGTAGGGGAAGCAGGAATGTCTTAGCAGGCTGTTACATTTGCTCTCATTTGGAACAAGAGACAACGTTGAAGGAAGAACAGGTGCTGGCCTGGAAGTGGGGAGATCTGATTTCTAGAGCGAACTGCTAACTCTCTCACTCTGTGGCCTTGGGCAAAATTTTTCTCAGTTCTGGGCCTCAGCTTCCTCATCTCTGTATGAAGGGATGAGATTAAGCCACGCTGTATAGCCTTTTAAAATTGTACGGTGTTATATCTATGACCTGGATCTATGGTTTTGTGTAACTATTAGACCGTTGAAGAAAAGCTCCTCTGCGTAAAAGTCTGTTCATACGGGATGTCTTCACATTACCCCAGCGGTCCTTTTAAATTAAGCCAGGCAGCTGGCTTTCTCTGGAGTTTTAGAATAATTGCATCCTTCCATTTTGCTTTGTCTCCAATAAAAGCAGGTCTCCACTTTTTTGTTTTGTTTTGTTTGTTTTCTCTATATTCATTAAGATGAGTCTTCATAATTAGATGCTAATGTCAGAGTTTTTAATAAAGGAATAGTGCCTTAACAAAAGCTCCAGCCCCAGAAGGTTTTATGCAAATGTTTTGAGCAAATCAAAGAGAGAAAAAGAGCCATCAAGAGAAAAACATATCCTATCACAGGGAGGCAACGTTCAAGTGAGTTCCATGAGCTCTCAGCGGTCCATCTGTTATACAGCGGCCAGAATGGAGGGCTTTCAGAAAAAAAGAGGAGGCTTGAAAATTTTCCTTCTCCTGGAATTATTTCCAGGAATCTGCTATGCTTTTGCTTGTTTCTTACCGCTGAAACTTGCGTGCCCTGGAATCATTATTGTCAGAATTTGATGAGGTTTAACTACTTCACTCATACTCCAGACAAATAAGAGGCTGCATGTTTTTGTTGGAAACTAGGATTTTATAAGCTTCTCTGAGTCCAAAGAGCATGTCCAGACAGTGTAAGAACCGGGTCTTCCTGGCTTCTTCCTTAAGAAAAGCTACTCTGTTGGCTTTTTCCTAATGCAAGTCTTGCACTCACTTACCTCGGTCACGATGGACGAGCCGTGCGTGTCGTACACCCAGCCGTGGCGACAGGGCCCCAGCGGCAGGTGGCTCCTGTTGGTGGCCAGGCCGGCCAGAGGGTCCACGCAGCTGAGGGCGCTCCGGTTCCAGTCCACCTCGTAGCCGCGGCACTGGCGGGGGAAGGCCTCGCCCATGGCCCCCGGGCCGGGCACCGTGTAGTTCAGCTCCTCTGCCAGGCTCCAGCCACATCGCCGGCTCAGCTCGGCCACCCCGGGGCTCAGGCAGCGGTGGTCCGGGGTGAAGCCCAGGAAGACGATGCCCACGTAGATGGGGGTGAACGCTGCAGAGAGTAGAGCTAACAGGAAAAATGTCTGTTTCTGGAAAAAGTCAAATTCCCCTATGTGCTCTAGAATGTCATCCATGGTTGGCATTATTACGAGAGGCTGGCGGAGTCCTGATGCTTTTCCCTGTGCTGGTACGAGCGTCCCTGAGCCAGGCCGTGGCCAGCTCAGCACAGCTCTTGACCAAGAGTCAAAGGGTGGGAGGGAGTTGACTTTAGAAAGTGCCTAGCCTTTGATCCAGACCTTTACTTACTTGCTCAGGCTAATTTCCAACCATGCCCTCCTCCGGGGGATGTGTGTCCTGCTGCTCTCCCAAAATGCCCAGAGCAAGTAACAGGGCCAGACGTTTGGGTTCGTTGTAACACCACTCTCAGTGAATTTGTGCTACCTCATACCAGAACCACAAACAGTCCCTCCTCTGTATCACACGGGGAGAAATCGGAGAGCGTTCACATATCGCAGACCTGTTAATCTCTCCCTAGTTAACTCAGTGTCCAGGAAATTAATATATTCGTATCTCACCCACGCAGCCAACCTTTTCTCTAAGGTGCTACAGAGAACGCACACGCATTTGGCTTTGCTGCCCGGTGTAACGTGAATCATGGTCTGGGGTCAGAGCTCTTGTCTGGATTCAAAACGGTTTGCAAATTCTACCCCTGGCCTCATTCTACAAACAACAGCAAGTACACTGGGGATCCCACGTTGTGGCTGCTTGTTTTGATTTTTTTTTTATTTCCAGATTTTGTAATTCTGCTTTTTAAGGATTTTAAGGAATGCCAGTCTGGCGTTCTTGCTTTACAACCCTGAAGTGTCCTTCCTTGACCCACTTGTGCGGAAAGAAGAAAATGTTCACCGCATGTACAGGTCAAGTGCAAATGCAGGCAGGAGTATCTTCATTCTTCTTTGGTCCTGGATATCTCTGCCTGTGGTCAGAGATGCAAACAGCCCGTCTTTCCTGGTGTGCAAAAGGATCCTTACTACAGCGGGAAGCTGCCCCATAGCTGTCATAGAAGGTGACCTGTGGACATATCTGCAAATTAAAATAACAGAACTTTAATCCAGTTTCTTACTTCCATTGAACAGTCAGTGGGTATGATAGCCCGGGTCTAAAAGTAGTAGATCCTAAGGACCCGCTTCCTTGCTGCAGCTTCAAGCATCTTATTTTCTTGAAAAGGCAAGAAGCAGGTGCCTGTTAGGCTCCTGTCAACCTCTGTTGCACCTTCATTGGCTCACAGGGGTGCTCTGCTTGGTGGCATCAGGCTGGGAGCATCTCTGTCTCCCCCGGCCCCAGTTTGCCACTGACCAAGGGAGTGGGTTCAGACTCCGTAGAACCAAGAGTTTGGGGGAGTATTTCTGGTACAAAAGGTATAATGACAAAGCTTATCTGCAATTACACCCACTGGCTATTCAATAGAAAACAAAACAAAACCAACAAGAAATGGATGACATATCCAAGGCCAGGGGTAGGCTGCAAGGAGCAGAGATCTCGTCTTCTGGAAACACCAGACTTCTGGAAAGCTGTGGCTCATTCTGTGGCCATTACAGGTGCCAGGAAGCATTTATGAGAGATGAGGCTGTGGCCCAGTGTGGCCATGAATCTGAGATGTGTTCCAGTCCGTGCCTGAGGAGCTCCCCAGATGCAGAGATAGTTTTCAAATAAAAATTAAATATCATTGATAAAATAAAGGAAAGATAAAGAAATAGTCCCAACCAGCAAAAAGATAAGGCAACGTTAAACAAGAAAAATGTACGTTTAACTTTTGCTTCCACGGAAAATGGAGTAGGTGTACTTTCCTTTATTCTTCCCACTGAGTACAATGAAAATCCCGGGTACTATTTATGAAACAGTTGTAAGAGACGGAACAGTGGAAAGAAGGCCGACTGGCTAGGGACCTCTGGGCCCAAAGACGCAGTGGTGAGTTTCCTCCCTGGGTTTTCTTTCTGCTTCACATAAACCAACTGGGTGCTGGAGAAGCCGGCAAGCCAGAACTACCAATGGGCATGGACATCAAGAGCCCCAGCTAAAGCCTGCTCTATCTAGATTCCCAGGAATAAGTTCGAGCTTTTTTATGACCACTGTGGGCATCTCGTCCCTCTTTTAAGTATTTCAGTCAGTCTCTTGTTAACTTCAAATCGTGTTTGTCTCCTAAATGTCTCTTAAAATCGTCTTAAAAGAATGTCAGAACTCCATGCAACACAGCATTGCATTAAAAGTTGCTGTCTGCAATCCCGCAGTGTGATCTAGTCATCTGAACAAGGATGCGGAGCACCAAGAACATAATTCCCTAGCTGGGAAGAATAGGCAGGGACCAGTTACCACCTAGACCAGCCTCCGTCAAATGTATGGATCCCTCAATAAGATCTTCAGTACACACAGCCACTCAGCCTTGGAGGCTGCCAGCTTCCCTGTCCAACATTTCTAGTTAATAGAAAAGTTCCATCTTAGATAGCACTGGTGCCTGTCCCTGTATAACCTCTCCCTACTCGACCTACTTGTCTCCTCCAGGATGACCAGAACCAGGACTCCTTCCTCTTCAAGGTGACACCCATCACATAGTAGAGGTCTGCACCATTGCTATGCCTGACGTGAAGAGGTTGAGGTGGTCTGTGGTTCCTCCTAGGAGTCAGACATGACCAGCTGTGGCTTTGGTCTTAGCACCACGACTTCCACCTCCGACTTCTTCTCTGATCCCAGGGAACTGATGACAGAAACCAGAGGTGGACTTATTGAGTGCCATTGCCCGTGGCCACCAGCATGGCATGGAGGAGGGGGACAAGGGAGCTCCATCTCCGGAGCACATGCTCTGCTCCAGGACATCTTTGAGGGGCTGTGTTCACGTAACTTCTCTCCTGTAATCCGAAGAACATCCCTGTGTGCTGGATGTGAATGCTCCTTTTTCACAGATGCGGATGCTGGGGATCAGAGCATTATAGGAACTTCCTCAGTGTCAGCTAGCCAGTTAAGGATGAGTCAGACCCTGAGGCTAGGGTGCTCCCTTCCTCTGCCTCCCCCTCATTCACCAGAAATGCTGACAGAGTGAGTTCTTAAAAAGTGACCAAGGTCATGACACTCAACTCCAATCCCAGGAACCCAGAGGTGGTCCTGACTGCCTCTTACTAGGACATTTTACAAACACCTGCACCCTGGGTTTGACTCATTGACATGATCCACTTCAAGACACCAGATCTTTATGCCCTGAGCAAGAGGGCATCAGGTGAGAGGCAAGATGAGTGTTGTTTGCCAAGGAAAAATGATGTTGAAATCCACTATGAATTACTTACAGTAAACAATCAGATAAGGAGAAGGTAAGAGCTCAGACCCCTTAGAGCAATCGGTTTGCCTGTCATCAACAATTTTCCATCGACTATGAGCACAGGGGCAAAGCCCACAGCATGGCCACCATAACATTCATCGTTGGCAGGTGACAGGCTAGACTCCTCAGCAAAGACATAGGCGGTTGAACAGCTAGAGGAGAGAAACCACCCAGGGGGATGCGGGGGCGTAAGATAGAGCTAACTCAGAATTTACAATTTGAATCTGGTCTCTTGTGCCCCTATCACTTCCGTTTGGGGGGAGTTGGTGCTTACATACTCACAAGTATGAGAAAGGCTAATCTGATCCTATGGTGAATGATAACCTAATCCACATAATCTGATGATTATTGTAATTAATACCGGAAGTATTTCTCAATCTTTATCAGGTTCCTTTGCAACGTAAAGAAATATTGTCCCCAGGCTGCTATTTTCTGGAGGCACAGAGCAAGGTGGTTGTGTCTAGACGAACTTTCTCAGCTCTCCCCACTGGAGGACAGCAACTGGTTCAGGTGGGTGGTTAGACTCCTACCCAGCAACAAGCCAGGCTTCTGGTCCTTGGAGGACGACCGGGCAGAAGCAGGTGACCCATCAGCAAGGGAGAGGGGGGTCTTTGGTCCCGTGCTACGCAGGATGGCTTTGACATTAGATGTCTGATACAGTGAAAAAGCAGGATGTGGTCTTGGGTCAGTGCTTCCCCTTGGGTACGTTGAAGTCTACCCGAGACAAGGATGACAGAAGGCAGAGTGTCTCACAGTGACGGGTGTTGTGTGTTCCCTATGTGGCTCATGGGGATAATGGCAGGAGGCCAGGTGGGGCCAGAAGGGGCGAGTCCACATAGCCCGGACTATGGTCCAGCCTTGGCCTAGAGCACCTCTGTCATCTGGGCAGGCTCCTAATTTGTAAACTGGCCACTGTACGCATATCAGAGAGCTGAGGAGGAGGAACACACAGGACTACCCAGCATAATGGCTCACACTGGTCTGTAGTCACTCGTGAGACCTTCCTCCCCATCTCTGTCCCTCCCTTCTCCCTTCTTTCTCTCCTCCTCGTGCCCCACCTCGTCTTGCACTTGCTGGTGTCTTCTGCAATTCCCTGCTTCCCGTCTACATCACTGCCAACTGGTTGGGCAGAGGGCCCTGTGGCTAGGCAAAAGGTGGCAAAAGGTCTGCCTTGACCCAGAACATCCGGGTGGAAAGGACCTCAGAGGACATCAGAATAGCCCCATGCTTACATTCCTCACAGACATCTGTCCCAAATAGTTCCACATAAATGCTTCCTATGTCAGGTGAGCCTGGTCTATTATTGGATATTACGGATAGCTGGAAAGATCTTCCTCATATTGTATCAGAATTTGTCTTCCAGAATCTTCCATGTACTTGGACATTATTCTCCCTTTTGGAGTCAGGTAGGTTAAGTTAAAACTTTCCTACCTAGAACTTCAGAGATTTAAAGGATAACTTTCTTTGACCTTGGCCTCTTCTCTCTTCCGGAGTAGATCACCCCATTCCCACAGAGCAGGTGTTCAATTCTCCCCACCCCCAGGGACAGCCCTGAAGTGCGCTGTAGCTCCTTTCTTTCCTTAACATGCTGCCTCCAGGACCCTGCACACAACTCAGTTGGTGGCTGCCTAGTGTGCTACACAGCCAGGTGGTTGCTTTCCAAGCAGGGATGGGGCCGACGCCCGCAGAGGAGGTCATTCCTCAATCAACCCACTGTAGTTACCTTCCTGTTGAGGCTGGCTCTAGGAGGGCTGGTGGGAATTCCCTTTGGGCTTC